AGAACGGAATCGCGACCTTCGTGCCTCTGTCGCTGTATAAGGGTGGTTTCGCATAAGGGTTGACGATAGCACCGTACCCACTAACAAAGGACAGGTAACTCCGAGTTGAACGGAAATTGTGCTGGGAGTAATGTAATGGCGTGACAGAAGGATACGGTTATTCATAATCAATGGAAAAGCTACCCTTGCTTCAACCCTCTCGGGCTGGCTGGCCGAGGTGAGAATAAGGGTTGTAACGAAACGAGGGGAAAAAATGTATGATTATTTAAACCAGCCCAGAGGGAGAACGAAGAGGAAAAAAGTATAAAGTCGAAGCGGATTAAAATGCCGATTCGGAGGCACGAGAATCCCTCACGCACCCCTGATTCACTTGCTACCCTTAGCATGATTTTCAAAAATCGTCTGATACTTTTTCCAACTAGTAACGGGAAATCAGCTTTTGAAAATAGTACGACGGATCATGAGTTCGGTTCTCTCCTCTCTGTGTGTTCATTTACTACCCTTAGACACAACAACCCTTAACTGAAAATCGATCCGCCCACACCAGAGGCTCCGTGCTACCAGTGTAGCCAATTACGAGTCTCTGACCTCCCTGACCCCGCCGCGTCACTGTTCAAAGACCGCAACCTCGCACCCTTAACGTCATTGCCATCCCCATTTTCACCCCCATTTTCACCCCCATTTTCATCCCCGGGTAGTCCCATCATCTGACAGTGAACAAAACCCAAGTTTAGCAAGTAGGGGCTTGCGTCAAGACGCCGTGATAATGACTGAAACTACAGGAGACTGAGGGCCCCCGAGCAACTTGCTCGGAATGCTGTCGTCGCGACGCCCAGCGCCGCGGGCGTCCCTCCTGTCTCGTACCTTGCTTATCCAGCGTTCTCGCTACTTCGTCTCGAGCAATATTTGACCAACTCAATTTTCTACGCCACCATTCTCACCGACGTCAATTCTTCTTTCTCTTTGTTTCCCTTAAAACCATGTATTTCCCTTAGGCGACTTGGACGAGCCGGTATGCCGTATTTTACACGTACCGGTATGATGGTATTTTTTGAATATCGGAATTATACCAAAATTTAATTGAACATCCGGGAGAAGAAAATTTTTGAAAATATAGTTTCTGCTACGTTTTTACGGAAAAGAAATTCAATAACAGGCACAGGTGGAATTAATAATCAAAAGAGACATCGTGCATTTGAATAGCCAGTGGGAGGCTGGTAGATGCAACTTTTAAATACGTTTGCAACTGCAACTGCAAGGGGGTCGTAATCGAAGTGCAGTTGCATTGTGCATCCGACTGAAAGTACTCTCCAAAACTGGAACCCCTTTGGCTGTCAGTAAACAATACTCGTTCCTGGACCTACCCCTATATCCCAGCATCCATTTCTCCTTTGGACCTCTATTGCATGCCTTGCATCAGCGATATTTGCATTCGCAAAACGGGCTTCGAGCCCTCTCTCCTTTTCCCTCTTTCTCTCTTTCTCTGTTTCTCTCTTTCTCTCTCGCTCGAGGGGGTCCAATTGTTCATCTGGGAAAACAGAAAAACCTTAATGCTCATCCACTCGTTCTCGAGGAGTCGCACTCAGCTGCCATTATTCTTTTCAATGATATTTATGCTTCTCCATCTTCCGGTCGTTCGCCATTTTCGTTTACATTTTTTTCAAAAAAATCATACCCCTCGAAAATTCCCGCGTAAAGCAACAATGGGCAAAGTATCCTCTCGTATCGTTAAAATGCTAAAATAACACAGCGGAATATAATACTGCACAAGAGATGAAACGGTGAATTTGTATTATCGAGGTAAAACACAAATGCATCATTTTATATACCTTTAAAGGAATTCCACGAGTACGAAAAAAAAAATCTTTACCTCACTGTTGCCAAATATCCGGGCCAAAGCCGCAATGCGCATCTAACGTATCTCAAAGGCGAAATTCCGTCGCTGCCATAAAACGCGAAGCGGTTCGGCCGAATTCCAGGAGGCTGCGAAAAGGTGCCGCAAGTAGAGGACGGAAAGTGGCACATCTCGTAATTCATGAAATAAGTCCAAGGAGTCAGATGTTGCGTTAAAGGGTATTGTCACGAGTGACGTCACGTAGGCTGGCCAAACTGGGACTATAAATAACAAGGCGCCACGTGCTTCGTTGCGCTTTTCGTGCTTTCGAGGATTCCTTGAAATTTCACAAAAGCTCCGCGATCCCACGTTATCCCCGTGAAATAAATTTATTTCTCCGTCTCAAATTATTTCCTCCTAAAATGTCTGCCCGAGAATCTGCAATTTTTTTTCTCTTTCCCCCAAACGTCCATTCGACCGGAAGCTCTTTATCAGTCCCAATTACTCGATCACCCTATCGATCAATTTCGTACCTGTTTTCAATCGTAAACTCGTCGACGCTTTCGTCGACGTAATTCCCAAAGCGCGTAACGTGACGTAAGTTACGAATCGCCTCGCATCTTCCTCCACCAGTCCGAATCCTCGTAACGAGCTGCTAACCCATCAAGGGCAGCCCATTCTATTCATAGACAAACTAACCTCAAATTCTATCGAGACTCCCGGCTGTTTGTACACGCAATGACTAATCCGGGAATTTTGGAAAATGTCGCCAATTTCATTCCTGCATACCCGCTGCACTCTCATCGCTACCTCGCGGATTGCCCGTGTTTCTTGGCACGCTCTTGACTCGCGTCGTTGCATCCCGCGCAGCATCCAGAGGTCGGCAATCTCAGAATTCTCAGAAGATTCAAGATCACGTATACACACGCAAACGTGTGTGTTACTTTACTGTCACCCCAGGGCATATATTTATATTTAAACCACATAATATTTTACCTTCACGGAATTCGTCATACCGCTTGATTCATTCTCAGGTGACAGAATTTCCAAAAGAAGATTACGTAAGAGAAATAATAAAAGAAAAAAAAAACATTCAGCCGTGAATCACCCCGTTGGTAGGATCTCTTGGGGTTTCAAGAAATTCACCCCCCCCCCCTGCCTTCATTCTTGATTAGATTTTTTTTTTTTTTTTCTAACCTTTAAGGATTCGAGTCGAATCTTTCAGGACGAGACAAAAAGAATGAAATTTCGCGACGAGACGCTTTTTGCTCTTCTGCCTATTGCTTCTTCTTCAGTTCGGACCTCCTCGTCTCCCAGAAAGAGAAGCATCCTCCCTCTATCTCTTTTTCTCTCCCACATAACGCCATTGCGTGTTCGCGTGCTTGCGCGTATGGTGTAACAGCCTTTTTCATCAAAGCTCTTCGCAAGCTTCTTATTTTAGACGACGCTCAGCTTCGGACTTTCTGGCAGTCGAGCGTCGGCGACGCTATCGAACGACAGCAGCGGCGAAGACGTCGCGACGCGCACTTATTTATTTATCGATACGAAAATGGGTCTCATCGTTTATCTGAAGTGGCGAGGCAAGTTTAGTGACGCGCAGTGATCCGCCTTTATTTTCCCCCATGGAGATATTATTTATTTTATTTTTTTTTTTTTTTTTTTTTTTTTTTTTTTTTTTTTTTTTTTTTTTTTTTTTTTATTTCGACCTTTCGTCTTTCTCAACCCTTCCGATTGCCATTATCGACCTTTTCTTTCGTCTCGTATCCTAATTTTTCTACATTCAGTTGAAATCAACATAAAAGTGGCTACTTTGTAAATTTTCATAAAAATTGGCCACTTTCTCAGGGAACAATGAAAAATTCATCCTTTGGAAAATATTTTTTTAACTCGATCAACCACATTTCGTCGTTATGTCGAAATTAATTGATACTCGATCGAGCCTTATGTTATTTTTTCTTTGTAGACTTTATAATCCCTCTCCGCCACTTTTCTTTATTTCCTTAGTATATTTTGCCATTTACCAACATCTTCGTTCCTGACTACAAACTCCAGAAGCACTTTCGTCCCCTATTATTATTTCCCTATTATCGTGTCTCTTCGGTGTAAAGATCTACCAGGTCGCTTTAAAGAGAACCTTTTTTTTTCCATTTCTCTAAATCGATCCGAAGTTTGTGACGTTAGTCAAAATCAATTTCCGCTTTCGCGAGCCGCGCGTAGGTCCGAAGCTCCGAGTGGACGTGATCGAATCCTTTTCGAGAATTTTTCAAAGTGCTCCCAACCTCAGAAGCCAAAAAGTCACGCAGCGGCGCGTCACGATTGGTGGAACTTCATTGGAGCTCGTCCAAATTACGAGGATTCGTCATGCCAGGAATTCAAGGATTTGTCCAACTTCACGGTTGCCCAGTACCAGGATTCAGGATTTTATCCAAAGGATCAATTCAGATCCAGCAGTTGCCCATCTTCTCCATAGTCAAATTCAGCTCTGCGTCTCCAGCCTGAATCTTACAATTAGTCTTCTCGAGCATCGGGTCCCAGGGGTGCGTCATCGCCTGGGCTGCGGCGTCTAGACGAGACGTAGAATTCAGTTGCGCACTTGATCGTCTTCCAACTTTTTCTTAATTAATGTTCCGCGCGTCAACTGCTGCTACGAGAAGCCAATGAACTGTCTCTTAATTAACCAAAGTTCGTTAAACGACCTTGATTAACGTAATTCATCGCGTACCCCCTCAAACATATCCGGTGGGAAAAAAAAATAAATAAAGAATAAACCATTTTGAATGAAAGCCACGTTCACACCACTGCAATAAACATTTACTCCGGCATACGTAAAAGTATAGTACTATACGCGTATGCTAATACCATCCTAACCCTAAAAATAGATTTTCATTGAACCGATCTCTTGCTCTCTCTCACTCGAGAACAAGAGAGAGAGATGCCAGTCTCATAGTCGGATGTTAAGGCGAGATAATATCGTGAGGAAACGTAGAATTTATAATAAAACAAAAGCCCAGACTAAAAAGTGATGCAAGCTCTGGCTTTCTGTGCTTTTTAGCCGATTGCTCCTTCCCTCCATCCACTTGTTTGCGGGTTGCTCGGTTACTTCTTCGCAATATGTATAATTGAAGTTTCTATTTCGTTCTTATACCTGGTTTGCTTTCTCTTACAGAGCCGAAGAAGGAAAAGACTGAACAGAGTGCAAATGGCGCGGTATCGCCGAGCGGGGAACTTCCCAATCCGGGATCAGCTGTTCCTGGAGCTGTTCCCGTATCCAGCGCACCCACGTCGGGTGAGCAGCAGAAGCCAAACAGGCCGAGCACCCTCGGAGCTCCTGGAAAAATCACCAGGAGGTTACTCTGCTACCACAGTGAGCACTGTATGTCCCATCAGTCACCGCCGAGACAAAATCGACATCCCGGTGGCAGTGAGTACTGCCTCCAGAGAGCATTGCGCCTGCGCCATTGCAAATTGGCTTACGCGTATCACGGCATCGTGGCTTTGCACAAATTATTTTTTTTTTTTTTTTTTTTTTTTTTTTTTTTTTTTTTTTGCTACCTCACTTTTTTTTGGCAACGTTGCCTTCCATGGAGCGGTAGATATTCAGTGTTCGATTAATAATTCCAACGAGGTTATCACAACGCGTGTTCTGTCGGAAACAGACGTGGGATGCACGAGAGGCCTTGGTCCGGGGTGGCGAAGGGCGGTAAATTCAAAAAGAGCCACGTTGTGATTACTTGATACGAAAGCCCGGAGGCTGTACGAAAGGGTTGGAAAATGAAAGATGGCTAATTAAAAATGCAATCTGTCTCGCATCCATAGGGGTTTTACTATGCGCTGCGGAATATCGTCTCGGCTACCGGAAGGAGCGGGAACATCCAGTGAGGTTCCCCCCATGTCCTCGGGACATTTTGGACCCTGTACCCTTTCAACTGAATCCTTGGATTCTATATTTTTCCCTTGAAAAATCCTTCCTGTTATCTCTGCACCCTGCCCTTGGGTGTCGCAAAGCCATATTTTTGTAATTTTTTTCCTTCACTGAAAATGGATGCCTTAGAAAAATATTTAAAATTCTTATCCAATTCATGCGGCGTATCTAAACTTTGTGTAACCTATCTCTTGCTACATCTATTTCATAATTAATTAAAGTATCCTCAAGGAGACTGTTGGTTTGGCATAACTTTGTAAACTCAATAACTACCAACTTTCACGTAGCTCCAAGTGAATTAGAGTTTGTAACCAGAAATACTTAGAATCCGGGTTTGCTGTTAGATACTGAAATTCAGGTGCTCAAGATAGTCATTTAAATTAACGAATTTATTACTTTTCCTGTAGAGAAATTCGAGTCGGCGTTTACATTGAAATCCTAATTGAAATCAATGAAGTCAATAGTGGAACTAGGTAGCGAAATGTTAATAGATGAATAGTTGATAGCAAATCAAATTTCAGTCTGTATCTCATTAACGAGCATGTAATCGATACGCCGATCTGTTTGCCTGTCGCTTGTTTGTTCGTTATCCTACGTGGGATAATTAACGTTAAATCGAATCCATTCTCTGATGAGGTTCCTTGCGTTTCAGTGCCCGAGGGTGGTCATCAGGGCACGACGACACCCTCGCAACAGCAGCAGCATCAGCAGCAGCAGCAGCAGCAACAACAACAACAACAGCAGTATTTACAATTGCCCATGCAAAACACACTAACGCTGTCGGAACTCCCAGAACCGCCGATTCCATTAAGTGAGATCGGCCCGATTCCGCCACCGCCTATGTTCAGTTCGCCAAGTCCTACTCTGCTGGCTAGACAGCAACAGCAAGGAACCGGAAGTGGAGTCCATAACGCAGTTCCTCTTGATTTATCAGACTACGATTACGAAGGTACCACTAATAAATCTGAAAAAAAAGAAATAACAACATTACGTGTAGATGGTCAGAGTTCATTAAACTTTTGGTAAATCACAGATCAGGAGGACATCGACGTGGACGAGGAAGAGGAGGACGATCGATACGTCTTCAGGGTGTCTCATCCTGATCCAGCAATCGATACGTCCAGGGTGGAAGAGATTCCAGCAAAGGAGCCAAAGTTCCATGCGATGCCGCTGAAGAGTGCCCTGAAGAAGAAGGGTCCGGGCAGTGGACCAGGGACGCCCCAGAATACACCAACCCAGGAAAACAGACCACTGACCCTGCGTCAGGAATTGCATGCCTCTTTCAAGTGAGTCTTCTTGCTGCTGAATTCCTCAGAATGGACCGATTAGCGAAAGCGTTCTCCAGATGATCCCATTCATCTTGCACTCATCTGATCTGACATCCTCAAGCACTTAAACCTCCCAGATGAGCTCTCTCTCCTCGCAGACCGGATTTAATACATACTCCAGAGACCGGAATGCTCGATACAGCCTGAGTGCCTGGATATAAATGAAATAAAAATCTAGAGCCCTTGTCCTAAATGCATCTACCATTCAGTCAGGTCAAAGGATTCCTCTTGCTGAACGCAATGACACCCTAACAGTTTCCGGCTGTGAGCTTGTAAATTTAAAGGTGCACTAGGTGCGCGTCGATGCTCGTCTCTCTAACTCTTTGTCACTGGCAGCACAAAGAATTCGAGTAGAACGTGCGAAAATGGTATTTGAGAGGAAGACTATTTGAAATTTGCAAATAAGAAAAGATCAAATGAAGTACCTTTCTCCCTCCGGAGAACGTTTGGCTAATTTATTATAAGGGAATGTCGTTCTGTGAGTCTTGTGAAATGCAGCTGTCGTGTCTTGTGCATTTATGTACACTGTTTTTTTGTAAAATCAAAGTTCATTGACTCACGAAATTTCATAGAGATGAGAACGACAGACCATTAGGAATTATGTGAGTAGGTGTCACTTCGCACATACGTCATGACATTGTCAATCACCAGTAAAGAGAGAAACGTATTTTTCTTATGCTTAACAGAAGGCCGCCATTGAGGCCTAGGATTAAAATATGGTAATTGGGAAAAACTAATTAATTAAGCATGCCCGTGCCAAGTTTGTCTAACGGGTTGATCGCGGGAACCAAACTGTTCTAAATCTTCGAATTCGTAGCATGAAGTGTATTTGCAAAAAGACAAAAAAAAAAGACAAAAAAGACAAAAAGAACCAACTAGTCTACCTCTCTGTTTCTCTGTCTTGTCAATCAATCTGTCAATGTAAGTAAATTTTAAGCACGAGAAAATAACAGGGATTCTCATACTCGCCTAAAACTCATTTCTTCCCATTATCTCAATGCTCATCCGCAGAATCTCGTTATCTCATTGTCTCATTCACGAGTAGAGAAGAGAAGGGTGTATTGTCTCATCTGAATTTTCCATCTTTTTCGTGAATCGCGTATGGAAGCACATTTTTGATTCCTTTTGTCAAACGTAGAATAGAACATTGGTTCGCGTCAGTATCAACCAGCAGTGGCGCAGCATCCCATAATTCATATTCCCCATTAACATTACAGTAGTCGACCGGTAAGATTTGGATTGGCTCTGCCTTGCACTCTTGAGAACAAGGAGAATGCAAGGCCCTACGTCATACGGGAGGATTCCGATGGAGATCAGGGCGACGGGCAGGTCCTCTACAGGGATGACGACGACGAAGAGAGTGAGTAATGAATTATTAGAATGAAAATTATAGAAATCGAATACTAGCCCGATGACGTATTGTTTCACTGTTACCTTGAATGAATCCCCACCTAGTTTCAAGAAACTCGTTGCACAATACCGAAATCAACCTTCACGGACAACTAATTATATTCTGGGCGCGGATTCGCTGTTCCACGTATATATATATATATATGCGCGTCCAACTTTATATTAATATCCAAAGATAGCTGGCAAGCTTAGTGCGTTCCTGGCTGTTGTCTTACTCCTGTGTGCCACGTCGAACTTCCTGCTTCGATTCCGAAATTAAAAAATCGCCCTAGAATCAGTCCTCCCCGATTATGTGGTTTCCGGATTGGATAAAAGACCATAAGTGGTTGTGCTTCGTGTTGCACGTGGTTTTGACTTAAAAATATTGTATCGAATGACCTGTGTGTTTGTTGGTTAAATAAAATGCTGTCAATATGGACGGCGTCGACTCTGTCGATTGTCCAAGCGACGACCGAGTCGACGAGAAGATTTACACTGTTGGAGCGCAGCCTCGTTTGGTCCTCCATTGTTGAAAGTAAAAAGAACCCTCGGAACGACCCAGAGATTCCTGCTGTATCGTTTCTTCGACTGATTCGGTATTTCTTGTTTGCAGATCGACTAGCTGCCAAGATAGCACGCAAGGAGTCGTTGTCTTTGAAACTGGCTTTGAGACCCGATAGGCAGGAGCTCATCAATAGGAACATTCTTCAACTTCAGTCCGACAATGAGAGGCAGGAAACCAAGGAAGCCATTGGTGCAAGGCTCATCAGGTGAGAGTGCATTGTAACAGCAGTTTCATGTATATTGACTCTAGAAGTTGGTCCAGGTATGGCAAATCTGGTCTGGATTAAGATTAATTCCACGATGCAAATTAGAAGATGCTTCAAGAGTGAATCACGTGTTGTTTTAATCAGGTGGAATTGCATACCACGTGGTTCACTTTGATGTCATAAATAGAGACCGGAAGTCTCGTGCGGTATACAGAAACGTGACAAGTCATACGAGTCTTCTTTATATTTTAGGCGGCTCAGTATGCGGCCGACTCAAGAAGAGCTTGAAGAGAGGAATATATTGAAAAGTAAGAGAATTTGATAGAACATATAATATCGTTAATAGAGTTTCTTTGCTCGTTTCGTAAAACGAATTCATAGAACGTAAGGAAACGCTAAGGAAGTAACGAGACCAAGGATACTTTTTGGGAATCCTTCTTCAAAGGCAAGATATTCCACTAAAGAGAGTGCTTCCCTTTCTAGAGCAAAGTCCAGCCGAGGAAAAGAAGCAGAAGGAAGAAAAGAAACGGTACCTCTTGCGAAAGCTCAGCTTTCGTCCAACCGTGGAGGAGCTCAAAGAAAAGAAGGCAAGTTGATCCAAACCCAGAAAATAAAAGAGAAATAAAAAATAGAAAAAGAACAAGTCTCCAAGAGGATTACCTCAGTGCAAAATCCTTTTATAAACTGTACACCTAACTATTTCTCTAATGCCTCTCTATCTCTACTTCAGATCATCAGGTTTAATGACTACATTGAGGTTACGCAAGCTCACGACTACGACAGGAGAACCGACAAACCCTGGACACGACTCACACCGAAGGACAAGGCCGCCATTCGCAAGGAACTGAACGAGTTCAAGAGCTCGGAGATGGCCGTTCACGAGGACAGCCGACACCTCACTAGGTATTTTTTTTTTTTTTGGAGGAATTTAATACAATTTAAAAAATTTCGTATAGGATTAAAATTAATAAGAAAAAACTTTCTTCTTTTTCAGGTTCCATAGGCCATGACAATTGCAATGTGCAGAGGTGTTAGAGTGTGGTGCAGGTTTAGGTGCAGGTGCAGTGCGGTGGTCGTACGCGGACCAGGTGAATCAGTATCGTTACATTACGTATGACCGATCGTGTACGATGATAACGACGCTCTTGGCGTTGGTGACGTCGACGTCAACGTTAGCAAAGGCGTCCACGGCGTCGACGATGATTGTGATAGGGTGGCCTGCCTAATCGGGATCGGCGGACCACTCACAGATTAAGGGCCAATCTTCTTGGTTGGATCCTTATGCACGTAAAACACCAGTTTGCCGTCGGATTAGCTCTCGCGTTTGTTACCCGGCACGTTATTACTTTTTATTTCTATTTCTATCTTTTACTCTTGTCCCCTTCGTCTTGTTTTTGCATTTTTACCGCTCGTTCTCTTGCTTCTAATAATTACTCTACAGGCTCACAGTGGACTCTTGACATCTCGTGACAGTTCCCCGGAGACCTATCAGTAGAAACCATTCTTGTGACCTCACATAACCGGGCCTATGTGTCGTTCCTTTACTGAAATCTATTCTTCCTTATTTTTCTCCTGGGGCAATTACCGACCGACATTCAGTCCTCGAGGACGATGTTGAAGAAGCTCCAGGTCGCCAGGTAACACTCGTTCACGGAGCAATCTCGAACTGCAAACGCTTACAATTATTATAAATAAATTTATACTATATAAATGCATTGTGCAATTATACTTTGTACACGAGTATATAGTACATACAAATAGCGGTTATTAATTATTGTTATAATTATGAATTATTATTGCGATTGCGATTATTTCTATTATTATTATTATTACAATTATTATTATTCGTATTATCGAAGTTCATCTCAATTTAATTATACCAGTCGCAGTCACGTCGATCGAGCTCATTTTAATTAACCTGACGAATATTACGTTTTTGTACGTTGAGCGTTTTAATAAATTACGAAATTCAGAAACGACGCTCGATCGCTCGACAATCCGGGTCGCCATTGCTGCTGTTGAAAACAAAAAGGAAAAGAGGAAATCAAATTCGCGAACGAACGAACGAACAAACAAACAAAAGGAACGGGAGGCGAGATTAAAGAGTATAGAGAGAAGCAAGGAGGGGACAGGAGCCAGGATGACAAAGATACTCAAAAAAAGACAACCACACACTCAATTTGAAAAGACATTTGTTTCAAACGAACTAAAGGAAAGTCCATTCCCGAGGTAGATACGTAATTTCTTTTTTGTGGGCTTGAAACCAAAAACAAATTACTCACCCGTGCGCCTCGAGACCGAGAAAATGACGAGAGGAACGAGTGCCGGTCCGATTCTCAATTTGGCTTCTCCCCTCCTCCCCCCCCCCAAATTTCCATCCCCATCAATCTCAATCTAGTTGCGCCCGTCTTTTATATAGAATCCATCGTAGCCCGTCCCTTGGGGTGAAAGTACTTTCTCTCCACTGAAGATGTCCGCTATCGTGTAAACGAAAGTCTCGTAGGTAAAAACTTTCTCGTCTCACCAACCCTTCGCCACAGTTCGATATTAATCTTTCCCCAGTGCGCAGCTTAGAGAGTTCTCGGTAAGCCCGCAGTGCCGAGATTCACGAAGAATAGTGTATACTTTAACGACGACGAGAAATAACGAATGAATAATTTAATGTAATTAAGGGTTAGTCGGGTGAGACAGAAAGAGTGAGAGAGAGAGAGAAAGGATAGAAAATAGAGCACGAAATAAACTTAGGGAGACGTACCGTTGTTACGATTTAATATTAATATTGTTCGACTAGCGTCGTGCGCATGCGCGTCCGACTCTCTTCGCGCAGATAAACACCCTTCAGCTTAAAACTTTCACCCCCCAGGATGCAACCGAACCTCGGGCTACCGTATAGTCGAGGGGTTTGATTGACGTACGTTCACTCGTAGTGAGCTCCTTCGAGCCTATGAACCAAGTCGAAACCACCCTATGTGGATGATCCACCGTTTTGACGAATGGTTAAGGGCGGTTCTCATCGCGCGATCATGGAGGCTAAGTCTACTGGCGCATTGACGAACGCGAATAACACTGTGAAACATATTAATAAATCTTCTGTATATATCGCATAGATTACGAAAGGATAACAAGAGTATGGGAAATAATTAAAGAAAATAAATAAATAAAAAAGAAACAGAACACACGCCACGCTACACGTTAACGCGAGTAGATACTTATTGCGGTAACAATTATAAATACTAATTTTAGGTATGAACGCCCTAATGCAAATAATACACTATTATAAATATATAAATACATATATATATATATATTATTATATTGCCGCGTAAAACAAGTATGTGCATTTTTCCAAGCACAGAAAAAGTTGGTATTTTGTGTACAAACAAAGAAAATTGTTGAACATTTCGACTGTATTTCGGGATACGGGAAAAATTAGGGACAGAAGAGCACGACGCGAATTCTCAACGATTCTCGGCAACCGACGTTGCGTCTCTGTATGTGATCTTTTTTTTCTATTCTTGCGTCCTTTCACTGTCTTAACATTTTAGGGTCGTTTAATCAAAAGCGAAATAATCCCATCGATCTTGGCACTGTGTAATTTTCTTGTTTCTTTTTTTTTTTTTTTTCTTATCACAACCTAAAAAGTAGTCCAGTCACAGTTGTGACCGACGACTTCTTCGACAGTTTGACCGACATCCGGTAGACGCGCTCACGTTCCACCGGAAATCAGTGCCAGGATCGACGTTGTTCGCATAATAGAAAGAATAAAAAGTCAAGAGAAGAATCGTAGAGGATCTTTAAAAGACTCGAAACCGTCGATGAAAACTAGGGAGGATCGTGGACGGACGAATCTACTTGTATAATATTAATTGAATTAATAAATTAACGAACTAAAAACCACGAAGGGAGGTAGATCGATAAGGCGTTACGTAACGAAACACAGAAGAACGGGAAAAACATTGTAAATCCCCGAGGAACGATTTATTCGCGCAGACATAAAAAAAAAAGCAAAAAGAAAAAGAAAAGACGTATCCAGCAAGGAATCAGAGTACATTAAATAACAAGTAATCCTGTCTAACTAAGTGAATGTATCGCCATTGCGTGAAAGAAAGAAATAAACTGGAGATCGACGCCCAAGATAGACTTAGGGATTTTTACCAAATGACAGCGCCACGCGGGCTGACGATTATCCAATTGAAAAGTTATAAGATAAAATTGTACCCCGTCGTCTCGAAGAGGATAGGTCATTCGCTTCGAGATAAATAGAAAGCGCCCGGAAGTTGTACCAAAATGGTCCTGATTGAGACACGATGCCCAGAAACGGTTGCGAGCGACGGGGAAGAGTTGGTACATTATTTCTTTTTTTAAATTTTCCCCTTGTCGGAGAAAAAGAAAAAGCCCGACGAGACAGTTCCGCGGATGCTGGACCTGGTGAAAGGTGTCACTCGTCAAAGCACCGCTTGCTCCTTGAGCCAGAAAGACGTATTCCGATTCACCTTGCCATGACGAATGCCTCTGAGTCACGGCCAGAGGACTCCGTCGACGCTGCTGCGTGAATCACGAGAGATTCTACGTCGTGGCGACGGCGCGGCTCGAATTAGTAAATTGTCCGAGTTCAAATGGTCGTGGGAATTGGAAGACGAATTGAAAATGAGAAATAAAGGACACGCGTCACGAAGGCTATTTTGCTCCAGCTCACGACCTGGATAACCAGGACGTCCTGTCTCGTCGGTCTCTCTTTCGTTTACCTTGTAGTAGAGATGCGGCGGAAGATACGCAATTGTATTATATTTTGAAAACGAGGATTATGAAAAGCCTCTAATTCTAAGAGTAATAATGTATATAATTATTATTGTAAACTTGAAACGATTATTATCTGCTTCGAGGAGAAGCAGGCGACCCGCTTGAAATCAGAATGCGTCAGGTTAATTGAGGCATTCTGGATGGAACACGAGGAAGAGCCACTTCCGGTTCGGAAACGATAGGAATATAAAATAGAGAGAGAGAGAGAGAGAGAGAGAGAGAGAGAGAGAGAACAAGTGAGAATCGATGATAAATAGTCCTGAATGACTTTACAGCGGATCCGAATCGATGGAGACGAGTCAGTAGTTTTCCCTGTTCATATTTTCGGCGGGAAACGATCCACGTTTCAATTTTCGGAACCATTCTCTTTTGTTATTAGTTTATACGCACTACGATTATTGCAATTTATTGTATTATTAATGAAATACTGTAACAAACAAAATACTGTTAACTATTCTTAAAAAATTAAAACTTTTGTAAACTGAGAGACGGATGCCTCTTTGTGCGCTAGTTGAGGAAACTCAGAGTGTCTTTTGTGACTTTAAATGATCCACGTGCAAGAATACCTGAAACCTTGTCCTTTCTTTTTTTTTTTTTTTAATTTTATTATTAATAACAGACGAAGCAAAGAAATTGAGTCTTTAATAACAATAGGTTTCGGAGGTATGTTTGGCTAATATAATCATTGAAATGAGAATTGTACTTGATTTTGCGCGTAAGAGAGTTACCGTCGCTGCCAACAGATGGCTCCACTGTGCTAGCCAAACTTTTTAATGATCCAACAGTCTCACGCAGTTGCGATGAATGAAGCACGTAGCAACGGAAAAATGTAATATGGTTATGTATTCACTATTCACAATGTTAACTGTGACACGTAGATGCGGACTAGGGTCTTAAGTGGTTCTTAAATACACGACGGACGGAAAAAAAAAAAGAAATAAATAAAGAATACAAAGAGTACCAAAGCCCACGCATAATGGCGGACTAGTGACGCTCCAGCCTAATATCTGGTAATAAAACACGACCACAGGCCGCAAACGTGTACGAGGATCCATACAAATTTTGGGATAGAAATGCTGAAAAATTGGGATGTACGAATAAAAGTTTGGAATAAAGGAAAAAATCATCGTATTTCAGTACGGGAAGATTCAGGATCAGATTCTATCGTGTGTATCTCTCTGGTAGTGCTGCCACCGACGAATGAGTCGAAATCCGAAAAGTCATTGGTGGTCCTGGGCAATTCAATTTTTCCTGGAAGAATCTTGCCGAGCAATCTGAACGGCGATACCTAAAGAAAAAAAAAAAAAAAATTTAATCTCACCGCAAACTCTTTTTTCAACCAAATACCCTGTTGTACCATGATAAAATTGTCATCATCCTCACCGTCTTGGATTTATAATCCTGAAAATCCCTGCCCATGTAAAACGCCACACGCTGAAGTCCCAAAACCGATCCGATCCTCATCCTTGGATCGGGCTGGAGCAATCTCCTGAGAAGATCAGCGGCGGCTGGCGTTATTTTAGCATCAGCAGGCAAAGTGCCAGGATCAAAAGAATCCTGGCTCTTCCTATCAGACATAAGATTGCTCACGGCCGTAGTGGGATACTGAAATCAAATAATAAATTATTATGTGAATTGGATCAATCGAAATACAATCGGTCGGTAAAAAAGGGATATTATCAGTGTGCTGTTACCAACAGGCTAAAGGTACAGTTCTGTTGCTGCTATCCTAGAACATAGATCCACACATAGGGTCAACGGCCACTCACGACCCTCAACCTATCCGCTCGTCGATCCATCCAGCGATTGGATCACACGCGGTTCCACGATCCTTACCCGATCCTCCAGGAAAGTCGATTCGAGTGAAAATCCACAAGCCAAACATTTATTCCCCCAAATTCGAACCAGCTGATAAAGTAACTCGGGTAAATTCAAAAATCGATCGATCTTCGGGTAAATATCAGATCAAGCCACATGGACCAGAGAAACCGCGATCTACAGATTCCGAATATCTTTCGCGCATCTTATTAGTATTTTGATCGCAACCTGAGTATCTGCCCATACCTGCTACTAATTGGCTCTGCTAGCCACGTAATAGACAGAGAAGCCATTTCAATTTGATCTCGGGGAGGACCTTGACCGAGAGTAACGGTACACCCAGCCATTATTACGAGATCGTAGATATAATGGATACGGTTTACTCTTCCTTCTGGATAGACCGAAATTAAGCCGCTCTACCTATGTATATATATATATATATATATACATAGACGTGAACAAACATCAAACGCCCAATGTCGCACCGCCAATCCTCGTCACGCACGCTCCTCCTTTTCAATAGCCCAGGATCCTTAGTTGATCGCCAATTTTTTTCTTTTTTTTTTCTCCCAGAGTTTCCAAGCGCGACGTACCGTGCAAACTTTTTGCAAATCACTCATCGATAAGCGGATTTCCCCTAGCGGCCAATTGGATTCCATCGCGAGGTCGTGTTGCGTTGCAAAATATCGCGAGGATGAAGATCGATCCCGTAATGATCGTATATAGGCGCCGAGGATGATCGCCTCATGAAAGGTGCTCCTCTGGCAGAAGGTGGCTGGCTGGCATCTCGAGAGGCGAAAAATACTCTTTGCTGGGACGTTGCCCTCGCCGTGTTATACCTATAGGCACTAACGTCGGTTGCTGCTATCCTGGCGCGGAGGAAATTTTTGTTCCAGCCTAAAAAGGGATACCTGGATATATATAGGTATAGAGGCGAATGTCAGTCGGTATTTAACTGAACACGGTATATACGTAGCGAGGAGCGGATGCCGCCATGCTAAATGCAAATCCACAGTGCGTAGATGGTTCTACCTTGTGGTAGCTAATTGCTGGGTAAACCTGAGGCAGCCCGGCAGCCCCGGACAGCCCCGACAGCCCCGGACAGCCCTATGCACGAGTGTTGCGATCCTTCGATAGTTAGCACTGCGTCAAGGAGTCACTGCTTAACTAAGTAGGTATAAGCAGAAAAGCAAAGTAGCTTTTATTACATAGTGTAGACCCTACGGTGTATACACACATATATATATATAATGGCTAGAGGCCATTTTTCCAGTCGGCCGATCGCGAAGTACTGGCGGAAAGGAAATGGAGAGAGAGTAAAAAAAAGAGAGAGAAAGAGAGAATGCAAGTAAAATAAAAGAAGGAATAACTTCCTTCGCACGAATCGACGCCACATTACATGGGAATGATAATCCGTTCTTGGGGTATCCGTGTGTTTGAGGTATAGTGAGCGCAGACTCGAGCCAGTCAGAACGGAAGTCACGAAATCAAAAGGAAGCCACGAGATGGAATAGTAGAAGCCAGATAAGTTGCGTGGAAAAATTCTTAGAATGTGATCCTGACCAAGAAGGTAGACCTGGCTGCTACCACGTAATTCCCGACGATGCATTTCGTGATCCGTGCCAGGATCTTCGAAGATCCCCTGGATCGGGTCAACGAATCGAGGAAGCGCGTACTGGCGGATAGTGGTTAGCGCATGGCCTGACATTAACTTGGCACTAAGCGTCTGCCATTAGTCGGGACAGCTGCGCGAATCTCCTGGCGCCAGGAGTAATCGCATCCAGGTATTAGAGGTACTCGGTGTAATCTATGCGCGAACGTTGGGCTATTTATAAACCAGCTCTCCGTAGCCGCTGGCCACGTTAAACAGACCGACGTGGTCTGCCGTGTCTCTGGCTGTTTTCCTGAATAGCAAATCCTACTTGTGGTCGGTAAAGACGAATTCTGTACTAATAAAGTTCTATCTTTCTATTTTCAGGCCTAGGGTGCTGTCGTTGTTATACTTCTCAAGGAAGGGGTCCAGGACCGTCCTTGAACGTGGATGCTGTACACTCTCGAGCCCACCCTCCATTCCCAGGATAGCCGCTCGCAGTGGATGAGGACGAAGAAGAAACCAGCTACCCTGAAGGGGGTCCACTTGCAGGTACGCACGTACGTGGGGCATGGAGGCGCATAACCGAGCGCATCCAAGTCGGCAGGTACCCACGTACACAGCTAGGTAGACACGATGTAGATAATGCCAGGAGCTATAAATAGATTGACAGGAAGGGGGATGAGAATGAGGAAAAAGAAGACGAAGCCTCAAGATCTTGAGCCGAAGGAAGTAACGTAACGAAGCAAAGGCTCAGGATCCCCAGGGCGACCTCGCGTCGTCCTGGTTGAGCTGCTGGGGCCCTCGCCAGGCCCAGCCGTTGGTACTCCTGACGCTGGTGGTTGGTAACCAGGTTCGCATTTAGATTTTTCATCCAGCTGGAGGCCGATTAAGTCGGAGCTGGTTTGCCTTGCGAAGGCTTTCTTACGTCCTGCGCGAGTCCGCTGATCCTGAACGCGGTGCACTAGCCTCGGCCTCCTTCTCTTCCTTCATTCTTGCTCCTTCTCCTTCCTCTGCCTCTTTTCATTCCCTTTCCCTGCTGCACCCTTCCTCCCCTTTTCTCCCTCTTCGTTCCCTTCTTCTTGCTCTTCGCCCGATGCGCTCCGCGTTCTATTTCTAGACCAGGAGAGTCTTGCCCGAGTCCAAGGATCCGACATCATCGCCATTCCTACGCGGCTACTAGGCAGGCGCTGGTCTATGCGTCTCTCGATCCGGTAGGCAGGTGCGACGAGCCCAGTCCAGAGCCATAGAGGCTGCTAGGGAGAGTAACTGCTTTTGCGAATATCTTTTTTTTTTTCCTTTTATTTTTTTTTTTATTTTTCTGAGAATCCGCCCGAAAGTGAAAGCTAAATCATTCTGCGGCAAATAGCTAACAGGACGTTTCAACAGAAAGTCAGTATGTCCAATTTGTTAAGTTCGATCGTCACCGAGGTGAACGATCGACAGAAAGCCAGCCGTCGTCTTCGCCACTAGAGATCCTCGCGTGGATTTCATCTCTTTATCTCAAGGGTCCACACGTCGCTGCAACATGCAAATTCGAAGGAAAGCGACAGTACCGGGACATTTTCGAAAGTCGCTTCTTACTCCTAATCGCTCGTGCGAAATAAATTTTTTTTTAATAAAAAAAATTCACTTCGACTTGTATCCTATCTCTTTGTAAATCTCGTCTCGCTGCGATTGGACGTTGCGAGGATCGTTAATTGGGCCTTGGCGGAATTCAAGTCGGACCAAAGAATCCACGCGAGGTGTAGATGGCGACCTGGGCCCTGTGAGAACGAGAATAAAAGAAGACCAAGAGGAGCCCACAAGGGACAAAATAACAAAGGGCCTTCTCGACATCGAATATATACGCGAATACCCATCTACTATACCTTCTTCAATTCCTACTTCACTTTTTTTCCTCCTCTTCTTCTCTCCTTTTTTTCTTCCTCTTCCAGACTTCTTCTCTACTTCGCTCCCTAACATCGCCGATACCCAGACTGCACTAAGGGCAACATCTCGCGACGCTCCAAACGAATATCGCGGTATTTTTAGACTAGCCAGTTGAGCCCGGTTCGTATATCATGCCCATGGAGAAGTTATTACTGACTTAGACCTTAGATGGGCCCGATTTGGCCCAAGGCCCTCAAAACTCGTTACGCCAAAGCGGGAGGGCCCTAAATGCTGCGAGTCTTTTTTCATTTGAAAAAAAAAATCTGACGTTTCAAAACGTACACGGCAATCTCCACGGAGATATTAATTATTCTAATCCCGAATAAATAAACGAATAAAATATATATAAATAATAGGCACCGGCAAGGGGATGGCGACAAGGCGATTCCTTTCTGCAATATATTTTTCTACCACACGTTAAACGTTCTCCTGCTGTCCCTTCGTATCCCTTGGTCTCCCATCCCTGCAGGTTTGTTCCCTACCGTATAGGGAGGCGAGCAGCCACGTCGATACGGTTTGCTGAGCGCCGAGCAAAAAGGTAAACCTGCTTGCAGGGCGTCTTTTTATTCGTATTCGACTGGCAGGTCCGTCTTAGGACTTAACGTTAGACTTGAGGAAGGAGTCCAGGTTATCCCATGAAGAAGCTCGCGCATTCTGTAATAGTTATACCAGGTGAATATAACTACGTTACCATTGGGTTACGATGGAGACGAGGCAGCCACAAGGACGGGATGGAATAGGAATTATCGGGGACGCAGGTGGAAATAAGTTCTTGCCGACTCTCAGAATCCTCAAGACGCAGGAGATGCGAGTCGGGATAGAAAGGGAAGAAGATGAACGGTCGATCGCCGCGAAAATCGACGCGTCGCGTCCCGGCGGCAACCGCCGCTAGAGCTAATTTAATGGCTGGCGCCAGTCGAGCCTGCACTCGTAATACCTACTGCTGCTTTGTTTTTCATCTGGGCACGCAAGCCAAGCAGAGATAGAGGAGGCACTCCCTGGCTCTTGGCAATTCTAGCCGAGATCGCTACCGGTCATCTTTTTTTCTTCCCATCATCCGCGTATTTTCATTCTGCCATCTTGGCTAGCCGGGACTAACCCAACCTGACCCAACGAGCAAGGCCAACATATTTATATAAGTAAATGCGCGTGAGCTCTCCGATGAAAAAAAGCAGCGGATTTACCCAGTACATGAAAACAATGAAAAAAAAGCATGAGTATGAAAAAACAGATCCGATCGATCGGCCGACGACGTCGAGGCGCC